ACTGCTCTCTAATTATCTTTACAAGGCAGAATGGCCCAAGGCCAAATTCAGACTGGACTGAGAGATACTGACATTTCTAAAGAAAGAACGTGCAGTTCTTCACACACAAATAGGAGACTCAGAGGCAAATGCTGACAGTCAGCAGCATGCTTCCAAACAGTGTCCCCTTTCTAAATCTGTGAGGTGTAGTCCGGGCATGATAGTGACTCTCTCTGAGGCAATGTCCCTCGTGTAGCTTCTCGAACACAATACCACCCCAACCTAACACTCTTTCAAGTTTCTGCACAGGTAGGGCAGGAACAGAGACCAAGGCTCAGGTTGGGGACAGTGGGAATTCAGGGAAGACTGGACCTTGCCAGGGAAGTGTTTCCCTGTTCAGAAGAGGTGGGCTAGGATTCGATTGGAGGGCCTGGAAGCTGTAGCCACATTCAATGGAACATCTAAAAAGAGGCTTGGTACCTGTGGCTCAAGAGGCTAAGGCACTTGCCACATACACCTGAGCTGGTGGGTTCAAATCCAGCCTGGGCCCACCAAACAATGATGGCTGCTACAACCAAAAATAGCCAGGCATTGTGGCAGCCACTTTTTTTTGAGACAGAGCCTCAAGCTGTCACCCTGGGTAGAGTGCATGGCATTACAGCTCACAGCAACCTCCAACTCCTGGGCTCAAGCGATTCTCCTGCCTCCTCCTCCCAAGTAGCTGGGAGTACAGGTGCCCGCCACTATGCCCAGCTATTTTTTGGTTGCAGTCATCGTTGTTTGGCGGGGCTGGGTCGGATTGGAACCTGAGCCCACAGCCACTCTTTTTCATTGTAATGTAAAAGAAATCAACCCCCCGGCTCAACGCCTGTGGCTCAAACGGCTAATGCACCAAGCCACATACATGTGAGCTGGTGGGTTCAAATCCAGCCCAGGCCTGCCAAACAACAATGATGGCTGCAACTAAAAAAATAGCCGGGCACTGTGGCAGGTGCCTGTAGTCCCAGCTACTTGGGAGGCAGAGGCAGGAGAATCGCTTGAGCCCAGGAGTTGGAGGTTGCTGTGAGCTATGATACCATAGCACTCTACCAGGGTGACAGCTCGAGGCTCTGTCTCAAAAAAAAGAACTAAAAAGAGTTCTAGTATTTTTTAATCTCATATTCAAGCCCCTTCATAGGCTCTAAGCAATGTGAACATAATTCAGCTGACATCTATTGAGCACCAACCATGTGCCTAGCACTGTACAAAGCTAGGTGGGGTGTGTGTGTGTGTGGTGTGCAGACACACACAGGCATATAAGTGCCCTGATAGCTGGAACTTGAGCACAGAAGAGAGACATCTGCCCAAGGGGAGGGAAGGTTTCCACAAGGAGGCATTGCTGCTCAAGGCTCAGAAAGTCCGGGAAGAGGGGTGGCTGGGGCAATGATAGTTCCACTGAAACTGAATGGGGAGGGGGAGGTCTTAAAGGGAATAAGGGGTGTTAGGAGACAGGATAAACACTGGACAGGCACATACGAACAAAAGCCCTGTGGTACACCTTCATTACTACCACGGACTTAGAACCCTCCTCGAGTCCTTTTGCCTGTCTCAATTCCACCAGATATGCTCAGGCAGAATTTCTTTTGTTTCCATTTTAGGAAATTTGAAATACTAGCCTGAGTAAGAGCAAGACCCCATTTCTACTAACAATAGAAAAACTAGCCAGGCGTGTAACGAGCACCTATAGTCCCAGCTACTCAGGAAGCTAAGGCAGGAGGATCCCTTGAGCCCAGGAGTTAGAGGTTGCTGTGAGCTATGACAGCATAGTACTCTAATGAGGAAGAAAAAGTGAGACTGTCAAAAAAAAAATATCTGCAATCAATACAAAGTACAAAAAATAGGGTGGCGCCTGTGGTTCAGTGAGTAGGGCACCGGCCCCATATACCGAGGGTGGTGGGTTCAAACCAAGCCCTGGCTAAACTGCAACAAAAAATAGCTGAGTGTTGTAGCGGGTGCCTGTAGTCCCAGCTACTTGGGAGGCTGAGGCAAGAGAATCGCCTAAGCCCAAGAGCTGCTGGAGGTTGCTGTAAACTGTTGACGCCACAGCACTCTAGCCAGGGC